CTCTTCACTCTCACTCCACTATAAATACCATTCATCCTTCTTTCTCATTTCACAACATTTCTAACCATCTCTATCATTTCCCCTCCTACACCCATATTTTCTACCTTTTCCCTTCTTCAACCCATATCCATCTATGGCTCCACGAAACAACCAAAGACAAGTTAAGCCCGACCGCCCACCACCCGACCTATCCAATATCATTTTCCGCGATAACGACGACGGCCAACAACAACAAAAGTATAAAAAATTCTATACCCGTTCCGTCGTTCCTATAAAATACGTAAGTTCTGAGTGTTTGGAAACCTTAGGAATGACCAATAGCATCGTATTCATGCTCAATAACACTGATTTAACCAGTCTCTGCAAAAACCCATGTCCAACCTATGAACCACTCGTGCTTGAATTTCTTAGTTCCTTCTCTTACACAACACCTGTCGACGATCCCTACACAACCGGAACCGCCAATTTCCGCATGTTTAACCAAGAGTACTCTCTTGATCAAGAAAGAGTCGCTGAACTCTTATCTTTCACTCGCGGCGAGCATGTTCATTACAAGACTTTCGACGATGACCACGATCTTTCTTGGGATCAAGTCGGTTTCTCCTTATGGAATGATCTAACCGGTCAAACCACGGAAAGTTGGCGCGACCTCTATGCTTCTCAAATACATAACCCTGCATTAAGGTACTTTACGTCTCGTACAAGAAGTACAACGTGACCAACAAGAGATGCGACGCGAACAACAACAATATGCCTTTCGCCATGATCGTAACCTCGAATCTTTGCAAGCTCGCATAGCAGACGCACTTCATCTTAATGATTCTAATTCTGACGTAGGACGAAGACCTCGTACTAGAGGACGAAGAACAAGAGCTCATGATTCTCAAAGCAACGAGTGATCGCCTTTCTATTTTCATCTGATTCTCCTTTGTTTTTTATCGCATTGAGGACATTGCTCCTTTTAAGTATAGGGGAGTCAGATCATTTCCTTGTTCATTTCTATTTCCTTTGCTCTCTTTGTAGTATTTTTCCTTTTATTTCTTTTCTTGTATTGCAAAATTTCAATTCAATAAAATACTTATTTATGCAAATTTTAATCTCTTATGCAAAAATTTGTGCTTACTCGAATTCCCCCTATTTCTTGAGCCATAACGAATAAAATACAACAATTTTAACACGCATTTATAAACATTATTCAACTAGTATTAAGGTTGCCTATTATAAATACAAATTCGAGCAACTTAGCAAAATTGCTATTGTCTTAATACTTCAAAACCCCCGATGTGTTGGATCGATTTAAGTACTTATTATACCAAAAACTTTAAAACTTAGTTTTAGATTAGCCCCGAGTAGTTTATTAAGCAGTCGGCACCGCCATAAACACAAACTACGTGGAGAGCTGATGAATATAAGTGATTGATCAAATATTCTTAAGAAATTGCTTTTATCTGAAGATGCACTTATTAAGTTAGATGGTCCTTACCAGATCATTTAATCCAACAGTTGCAGAAACTATAAATTTAAATGCAAAATAATCCATTATAAATTGGTTCAGTGGTCCCTGGTGCTGAACTTGGTAGGGCGAATTACGGTTCGATCCCCCGCAATTTTTAATTGGAAAAAGGGAGTACCATATGATTAAATTACCAGAACTCCTATCTGGCTTACTAAGATCAAATTCACTAACCAGTTACTCCACTATGTGCGTGTAAGGTAAAGGGCTTAATGTGATTGCGCTAGAATGAAAACGGGTGAAATAAAACATAGTATTAGGTTAAGCTATAATGACATGACTTAAATTGGTCTGCTTAAATGGGGTTGTCCAGTGTTCCTACGGTAACTTTGGTGTTTAAGTTTGACTTAAATTCTCTAACGAAAAATTCAACTTGCAACCTGGTACGAAGTGATGTATGTTCTTATATTTGTGTTTAACTGTGCGTCAGTGATTTTCATTTTTTTTTCTTTTGCTTGAGGACAAGCAACGGTTCAAGTATAGGGGAGTTTGATAACACAATTTTATATAGTATATTTGATTTAATTTTCATAGATAATGTTAGTATTTTTATTTAATTATTTCATTTTATTTCCATATTACGCCGGTATTTTTATTGTTTCAGGTATTTTATTTTAATTAGACAAATTGAGCAAAGTGAAGAAATTAAGAGAGTTATTGGACTAAACATGCAAGAAATGAAGAAAAGGGGTGTGCAAAGCAAAAATGATGGATCAAAAGGTTTATTATCTCCAAACTGGGCCCAAACGAAATCAGGCCCATGCAAGCAAGAGAGCCCTAAAGGCACGTGCAAGAGTGAGACGCACGTCTCATCTCTTCTCCTACAATTGAGGCGCCCGCCTCAGACCCTCTCCTTAGTGGGAGGCGCCTGTCTCAACGTGGTCAAAGGGGATGAGAAAATCTGGGGACGACCACCTCCACTCAAAGCAGTTAGAACGAGAAATTTGGGGAAAAGTGGTACGAAAATATCTCAAGAGGTGGTTACATTCTACCTCTATAAAAGGACATCAGGAAATCAAAATTGGGACCGTTTTTCTTAGCATTATTTTTCCAGTTTCAGAATTTACCTTCCCGCATTATTATTTTTTCTATTGTAATTCAGTTTCCAGCAGTTATTTTCCAGCCAGTTCCTTTTCGAATACTTAGATTTTATTTCTGTTGAAGAACCGGGATTTTTGTACGAATTGATTCAAGCTTCAAGAATTATTTCCAGCATTTATTTAATTCAGGTTTCTTATTTACATCGTTTTAATTTATTTAATTAATTATTTTCATGAGAGATATTTATTTAGCCATGAATTTATTTACGAATGTTAATTCCTTTAATGTATTCATGTCTGCTTTTATGAGTATGTCTGGCTAAATTATTTAAATATCGGTATGTAACGAGTTAAATTGAATGGATCCGGAATAAACAGGCTTGATTATATTTTATAAAATAAACACTTTTTCTGATTTAGTTATCTAATTTATTTTGTTAAAAGAGGTTTAGAAACCAATAGAGCGAAAGTTTGAGGCTAATAAACTGACTAAGATTAGAAACCAATAGAGCGACAGTTTGAGGTTTAGAATCAGATAGTAGATACTAGGTATTGTTTTTAAAGACTGCGACAGCGTTTTAAAACCAATTAAACTTTATTTATTTTCAAAAAGTAATTTTAAAATCAATGGGATAGCGAAAGCATACATCAGAGTTTAAAATTATAATTTACTTCAATAGAGCGAAAGTTTGAGAATAGATTTTTGAATAAATACTTTTTGCTGAAAAAGATATTATTATCATTTTTAGAAAATAAGCCAGTGGAAAGCCAGATTCTTTAATGTTAACGAAGTACATACCGATATTCGCATTACTATTATTTCAATTAGAATTAAGTTTTATTACCCAAAAATTCCCCTAATCAATTATTCGATAGCTATAGCTTTACACAGTAGTTTAGGTTACGTTAGTTCGATTTATAGTCCCTTAGGTTCGATATCTTTTAAAACTACGCGATAGGGCTGTATACTTGCAGTCTCCCGATAAATTTAGACGATAAAGTCGCGATCACATAGTGACCAAAGTTCCTGCTACAGTAACACTGAACATTCTTCTTTTCAGACTTCTCCTTTCCCTTATGGACATTCTTCTGCCTATCAGAGTTTGAAGCTTCTAACTTTTGACCACCATTAGTTCTCTTCCTGGCTTCTGACCAAGTCTGTTTCTGATGCTTCTTACTAGAAGTTACTTTCAGAGCCTGCTGCTCTACTTCCCTCTCAGAAGTTCTTGCAGTCATACTCAACTCATGCGCCTCTAGACTACTTTGCAGCTCTTCAACTCTCATGGTGCTCAGATCTTTGAAATGTTCAATTGCTACAACAATGTAATCAAACTGAGAAGTTAAAGATCTCAAGATCTTCTCAATAATTACTTGTTCAGACAGAGTTTTTCCACAAGCTTTCATCTCATTAGTGATCAGAATCACTCTAGAGATGTATTCAGAAACCTTCTCGTTATCCTTCATGTTGAGATTCTCATATTGCTTTCTAAGAGACTGAAGCTTCACCTTCTTCACTGATGCGTCACCACCGTAACATCTGACCAGTGTGTCCCACACAGCCTTTGCTGTTTCAGAATCAACAATCTTCTCAAACACATTCACATCCACACATTGATGGATGTAGAACAACGCTTTCTGATCTTTCTTGCTCAGCGTCTTCTGTGCTATCTTCTGGGCCTCTGTTGCGTCTGTTTCTAACAGATTATAACCATCAGTGACAAGATCTAACACATCTTGAGAACTAAATAACACGCGCATTTGAATCTTCTAACGATTCTAATTTTTGCCATCAAATACTATAAGCTTGGAATGAATATCGCTGTTTCCGTTCATCTTCTAACAATTGTGTCAATTTAGGTTTGTAAATAGATTTTAACAAACTTTTGTTTAAACTTAAAAAATATTAGTTTATTTGGGAGCTATTTAGAACCAAAAGAAAAATTGATATGTTTTGTGGGTATGTTTTTTATTTTAAAAAGGAGGAATATTTTGCATGTGTTTTTTGACTCGTCACTTTTATATAAAATGTAATTTTTAAAATATATTTACCAAGGTCAGAATTTTCTAAATCATAATTTATTTAGATTTGTGAACTTGATTATGAAGATGGTAATGAAGATGAAACAATATTAAATAAAATTAATTTTCAATGATTTACATACAGTTAAAAGTGTGATATTTGTCCAGTTTAGACATTTAAATTTAAAATTTAATATAATAAAATAATTAGAATAACAGAAGTGTAATTATAAAATCTAAAAATAATAAATATTATTTACTAAACAAATATACTCCACTATTATTATGTTGCTAAATACATTACTACATTGTCCATTCAAACATACATATGAATAAAAAGAAAAGCAAAAGCAAAATGGAATTGTATTGCACATGCACATGATATAGATATCCTAATAGTGACAGGTGTAAAAGTGTGCGATTCCTATCTAGGAATCATTAATTGTCTCAAAGTGAGCAAGCCTATTGTCTGATAATCTTGTAGCATAAGCAGATTTCTGGTATTCAAACCATGTAAACTCTCTATATAATAATATTTCATTTCCTTTTAAGAGACATGGCAAAGGTGCAATTTTCTCTACCAAAGGTGGACCACAGAAATAAATCATAGAGAGTCTAGGTTTGAAACCATTTGTTAAAACTCTGTGCCTCACACTTTTGAATCGTCCATTAGTCATAACCTGTTTTCGTTTTGTGGATAACAAATGTGTCAGAATCACAAGCCAAAAAAGGTGGCATGCATTATAAATAAATACAATACCCCATTTCAATGTAACACTATTAAAACTTGTTGACATGACAAGACTAGAAATATTTTCATCACATGGGGACATTTTATTTCATACTACTAAATAAGTAGAGTGTTGAATTGGAAAGAGTACAATGATAATAAACAAATGAATCAGAATTTATTCAAAAAGCTACTAACTCTTCTGAAAAAGTATGAGTTTATCTTTATCCACATCTCAACTATTTCATATCTTATCTAAATGAACAGGAAAAACTTAAATAAATATTTCATTTTTGTGTAAAACTAAATAAAACACTTCCTCTTGGCAAATACTATCATAAAAATAAACTTTTTTTTTATATTAAAAAAACCTGAATAAACTAAATATTTTTTATTTGATAATTTAATCAATGAATATTACATTTAAAGACTGAGATCCCATTAAAAATATTTTTGACACTCAAAATATTAAGATTATAATAGTAATATTTAATAAATATGTCTACAATTTTTGAATTGTCTTGTAATTATGTTTGATTTTTTAATTTTAAAATTTTAATTGGAGATTACCCTCTATTCATTATTAAAAAAATATTTTTAAATATATCAAATAATCAATAAATTAGAATTATATATAAATCAAATATATTAATTATTTAATAAACTTAAAAAATACTTTTTTTTAATACTTTTTTACAATTCTATTTATAAAACAAATTTACATTTTATATTTATTGTATAGGAAATGTATAAGATGTATATGTTGTCTAAATATATTTAAAAAATAGACATTTTCTTTGCAAATAAGACTAGAGTAGAAGTAATAAGCATTGAAAAAGAATATGTTTAGAGTAATATAGTTTGATTACTTGTATTATAAGAAAAGAGTGATTGGTGATTTTTTTACCTGAAGAGAATCACCAACATTAACAAAGAAGGAAGTGTGATCAGAAGGCACTGAAATCCAAGTCTTATCTTTGAGACAAATTTGAAAACCACAAGTGTTGTTTGATCTCAACAATGAAATGATTTGTGGATCTGTGTGTTCACCAAAACCAATCACATTTTCACCATCATTATCATTATCATTATTATTCAACCTTGACTCAGGACATGGAGGGTAATGGTTAAGCCTGAATATGCAATCACTGTCCTTATCATTTACAAGCTTGCTCAACACATTCTTTTCTTCAATGTTCAACCCTTCAGCCATAAATTCAAGAATCTCACATCCTAACTTTTTCACACTTGACATGTAATCACTCAACAAACATCTGCCGCAACAACAACAACAAAACCATAAATTTAATATTTCTTTCTATTTTATTTATAAGAAAAAATTTACTTTTTAGATTCATTAAAAATACAACATACAACGTATCTGATTTATATATTGTCCAGATACATTAATTATATTTTGTGTGTTCGAGAAGAAAAAACATACCGAAGCTTCTCGGAATCTTTACCAAAAGCAGGGGAGAGTTTGAAGGAATTAAAATCTTGATTATTTGTAAGAAGAAGATATTCAACCCAACCAATATCACCATTTTGTCCAATTTTCTTGTTTCCATACCCAAATGGATTAGCTGGTCCTGCTTTTTCCTTTTGATCAAAAGCCATGGAAAAGAACTTGTCAGCTTCAGATTCCAATGAAGAGATAGATTCCATAGAGACACCGTGGTTGACAACCTTAAAGAATCCAAACTCTTCACAAGCTTTTACTATGATGTTCTTTGCATCAGGTTTGGAGAGATCCACTATAGGGATTTCAGGTATGAATGTGGTTTGTTTCAAGTTTCTTAGACATGGATATTGCTCTCTTGTTGATTTTGACAACACAACCATTTTGAAGATGTTTTTTTTTTTTAAAGGAGTTTTGGGATAGTGAATGAATGTATGAAAGAGGTTTGGGGTAGTTCTCTATTTATATATTTGAAAAAGTGAAGTTGTGGGGATGATATTAATGTTATTATTAGAGGAAGAAAGAAGTTTGGATTACTCCTCTTCTAATATAGGAATAAACTTATTTTACAAGCAATGGAATTATAGTATTATTATGAGTTTTTATCATGGGTACAACCTTTAGTCAAAATAAATAAATGAGTACAACTTTACATATTAGGAAATTATTAATGGAAGATTTGTTTTCAACCAATAAAAACATTGCACTTTCCTTTTTGACCATCAACTTCAACTCTTACATTAGCGTGGCATGTCAAACTACTTCACTAGCACTCATTGCAACACTATTGCAAACAATTGACCATACTTAGAATTAGGGTTGGCCTTGAGTCCGAACAAAATCCACAACTAAAGACTTTAAAAAAATAAGAGTCTCAAAATTATTTTTTATAAATTATAAATTTGAAATAAATATATAAATATTGATTGTTTAACTAAATATATAATATAAGTTAGTAGTGTAGTGTAAAAAATTTGTTTTGATTCAAAGGCTAATGATTTAATCTTTGATGTATAAAATATCGGGGACGACCCTGCTTAAAATTGAGAAGAGCATGTATCCAAAAAGTGTACACAAAATCTACACTAAGACACACAAAACCCGCTTAGAATTTAGAGTCGCAAAGTTATATTGCATCAGAAAAGTTTATCATTTTTCTTTGATGATTGTTGGTATATATATGATCTCACATATTATGTGTCCATAAGACCTATTGATTGGTTAATAAGACTCATATGTCATTGTCTACTAGAGACTATTTAATTGAAATCAAGTCTTTTGTTTCTTTTTCTAAGATCGATCAGTTATGACTATTAATTTGTCTTAAATGCTCGTGTTAAAATGCACTAGTCGAAAGTAAGATATGTTAGCATTGAGTTGATTGACTTGAATTTGCCCATTAAGATGAACTAGCTCAATCCTGCCCCATAAGCTTCTTAAAACTGAGGTGGGTACTATTGATTCTTGGTTTGGATTTAACTTAAATTAGTGGATCGTAAACAATCTCTCAAACATGAGGTCTATAAGAGCGAGATGTTTTCAAGGAAAGACTTGAATGTACAAAAGGAAAAATGAAGCTAGCCAAAGTTACATTGATGGAATGAATAACGACTCTTGGGATCTTTATCAAGGAAACCAAGGAGCTAACGACTCAAAGAATGATAAATTGCTTGGTCGATATAACAGGGGGCAGTGGATAGTAAATAAGAGGACTGAATTAAAAACACCTAACGTAGACACCCTTAACAAAACTCAAAAGAAGAGACAATAAAGAAGTTGATCTATAAAGAAAATGAAGCAAACTTTATAACTCATTGCTAAAGTTCAAAATCAAGATGGTAAAAATATATCTTTTCTTGAGGTACTAAAAGAGCTAGACAACTCATAAATTAAGAGATATCATGTTATCCGCTCATGAGGTTAGTACCCAGAAAATACAAGTCACACATGAAGTTGCTTCTAAAACGAAAGAAAATGCACTTGATCCAAGTCTCACATGCCTGAAGCTAATAACTGATGATAAACACCCTATAGTCATTTGACTAGAAAAATATGGTCGCATCGACTAACTTATTGGGGTTATACGATATTAAATGGGGAAAATGTTTTAAAAATGAAGATGATTCTCTAATAGAAATATGGATCAACAAAGATACTAACATCGCCGTGGGTGAAATACAAGTCTCGATTAGTTTGATCCATCTTGAGAATTTGGCACAGAGTCCTTTTCGAAGGAGCTTGAATGAGACATATTTGTTGAAGACTTTGAGTGTACTTCCTTGGTTAAGGCTAATGAATATGAAAGTATGTTGTTTGAAAAAACTTCTTAAGATATGGTTATACATCTTATTGAACCATGTTAATAATACTACCATTGAACAAGATGATGACATCAATAACTAACTTGACATGTTGTTATTTCAGTTACACGGTAGTTAGAATCTATTTAACCATATATATAATGTTGTAATCATTTTCTAATAAATGAGAATCTATTTTCTACCATGTTCATTTTGAGTTCATAATATGGCGTCATAGCCCAAATCAATGAACAAACTTCATTTCTCATTCGATTCCCATCATATAGTTGAAGATTCTTCATTGTTTCTTCTTTGACCTTCATCTCTTTGATGAAGCATTTTATCATTTCTTGACTCTTCTTTCATTCTGTCAACAATTCATCTTCTTCTCCGCATCTGATTTTGTTGATTTTTTGTTGTTTCTCATCGTTTTCCTCATCGATCTAACATGCCTATGCATATTGCACCAAACTGACAGCTTGATGATTCAATTTACTACATTCATCCAAGTGAAGGTCCTAATTCATTTACAGGTACTCCAAAGCTTGATGGCTCCAACTATCTCACCTAGAATAGATCCATGCAACATGCATTATGCGCCAAGGACAAACTGAAACTCATTAATGGCTCTATTTAAATCCTTGATAAAGATCACCTCAATTTCATTCAATGGCAACATTGTAATCACTATTATTTCTTGGACAATAAATTCGGTTAGTGATAAAATTTCTTCTACCATTCTTTTCCATGAAAATGATGTTGATGCTTGGAATGATTTGCATGAAAGATTTTCCAAAGCTGCTCGCATTCACATCTTAACTTTTCCTTCTACAATTAATAATTCGAAGAAAAATTCAAGATTTGTTATGGAGTATTTCCTTGAGATTAAAGGATTTTGGGAAAAGCTTAATTCTCACAGGCCCATATGCACTTGTGCTCACAGATGCAGATGTCATGCAGTGAAAAAGGCTCACAAACATCGACTTGAGGAACAAGCTATTCAATTTCTCACTAGATTAAATGACAATTTCCCTGCTGTTTGGACTCAGGTTTTGATCGTGGATCCTTTACCCTCAATGAATCACATTTATTCCCTTGTTGTTTAAGAAGAAAGTCATCACAAGAATACCACACTTGTTGATGATGCATTTATTCTTGTTAATGCTGCTCAAAGATCTGATTTTAAGCATAAGGGTGGATTTCACAACATGAAAAATGCTCATAGGGTTGTCACCTTCTAAAATAGGACTGGCCATACTGTTGATTTTTGTTATCAAAAGCATGGCCACCCAAATTTTAAAAAGAATAAATCATCTGTGAATGTAAGCCAAGTGGAGAATCCTTCAATGGATGCCATTACAGATACCTCTAGTGCGAATAATCAGATTCCTATTACTCAAGCTCAATATGATCAACTCATCAACTTGTCACAAACCTCAAGTATCTCTGCACCTACTGTCAGTTCCACCATAAATCAAGTATCTTCTAGAATAAATTCACCTGATCAACTTTCAGGTATTGTTTGTAACATTACTTACCGCTCAAGTAATTTCCCTCATTCATGGATTTTAAATTCCGGTGCCAATGATCATGTTTGCTCCTCTTTGAATATGTTTAGTTCATACTACAAAATTACCCTTCCCAACGGATATTGCACAGTTGTCCAATATGCTAGTAATGTTAGTTTTACACCTGTTTTATATCTCAACCATGTCTTATTTGCACCAGAGTTCAATTTAAATCTCATTTCCATTTCCAAATTGTGCCATAAATTGAAATGCTCTGCCAAATTTTCTGTTGATCAATGTCTATTGCAGGAAATGAATACACATAGAATGTTTGGTTTAGGTAGAAAAGATAATGGATTTTATATCTTGCAAATAAAGGATCATCACTATGAAGAATTCCCCTCATCTTACCAAGCTCAACATCAACTCAAGTGTTACAACTGGTTTTAAAATATAGACTCTCCACCCTTAATTTTTATCCTAAGGAAGGGAATATAAAGGTTAATCCTAAAAAGTTAGAGATTCTATGTTTCTTGACTCGGTTATAGATGAAGGGAAGGTGTTAGGCACCCCTAATCTACCATGTTCACAAGAATACTAGGGTTAGAAGCGCGATCTTTAGGAAATAGGGTTTTAGTGTTTTATTAGAGGAACTCGCCATGATTTTAGTCGTATGCCTATGTATCCTCTTATGAGGAATCAGGGTCCCAATTCGTAGTTTGCAGTTGGTTGGTGTTTTTTATGGATTGCGTAAATTTGCTTTCGAATTTATCCTTGAACCTTGTCTGGGTTGTAAATTGAGTGAGTGTAGACGCAGTTTGCAGTTAATTTCGAAAGAAATTCTCCTTAATCCTTTTTCGAAAATAATTTTGAGTTTTTTTAATTATGTTAGTTGAAAAATGTTTTGATGTTGGTTAGCTATTTTAATGTTATTATTAGTCGTAATATTAGGTAAGACATAGAGCGCAGAGTCTGATATAGTCTCCTCATCATGTGGCTAGATATTGACCACGTGTCACCCATTGGTGAATTGCATGAATCTTAATTATTCGATTATAAATAATAAACTGGTAGACGATGTATCGACCGATTTAGTTACTCAAAGATAGACATCATATTATTTATAGAATGTTTAATTAATTTAATTAACATCATTCTAAAAATTCATCTAAATGATCTATCCTAACAATCGATTAAAATAGTTAACTAAATTTTAGTCTAATAAACAAATATCAATAACTAATTAAAGGGGTGTGAGGTTTAATAGAGAGGGTAGTATAAAATTAAATATGACCTTTTAAGACCAACCCAAAACAAACCTTAATTTGAATTAAATAAAAAAAAGATAATAAATGAGAAAAATGGAAAAGGTTGAAGTAACATGATGTTTTTAAGGTTATACTTACACCAAAATAAAGTGAACGTTAAAACAATTTGTAATCTTTGACTTTTTCAAAATTAACACTCATACCATAAAAACCAAGACATGTGGCTTCTAATAATATAAAATAAATAATAAATTAACCAATGAATTAAAATATAGAAAAAACACAACAATATTTGTTTCTCTCTCAT